TTTTTTTTTTTTTTTTTGTTGCGTGATTAAGCTAAGGTTTATCTTCTACAACAAATTTTCAAACCCCGTTTACAAATTTTTTGTTTTTGTTGATCTTGTATTGAAAAATTTTCAAATTTTCTCACAGGTTAAGCTTTGGTCAGTCGGAGTTGATCGTTCAGTGGCAACTATCGATGCGAAAGTGAATGTGTGCTGTGTTTGTTTTAGTCCAACTCAGCGAAATTACCTCGTTTTCGGTTCTGTTGGTAATATTTTTTGACGATTTATTTTTCATGTTTTTTCGATTTTTTATTCCGAAAATAAGAAAGTCATGATAGATTTTTTTAATTTTTATTCATTATAAGTAATTCTACTTGGTGACTGAAAAAATTGCACGGAAGAGGGATGTTTTAGATCATTGTATTCATTTGTATGATATACGAAAAACAGTTGAACCAGTGAATCTTTTTCGTGGTCATCGGAAGGCGGTTTCCTATGTTAAATATTGTACTGAAAACGAAGTGATATCAGCGTAAGTTTTCGTCTATGTCTTCCAAAAGAAAATTATTATAAAAATTTTTTTTCGTGATTGCTTCTCCGTACTGTTTTAATTTTATGGAGAATTTCGTCTTTTTTATTCGTATTCACTAAACTGCGGGATATAGGTCAATAGATAGTAATCTTCGACTGTGGGATGTAAGTAGTGGAAATTGCTTGCGTACAATGAAAGGACATCAAAATGAAAGGAATTTTGTAGGTTTGGCAACAGATGGCAATCATATTGTGTGCGGTGAGTACCTCCTAATAAAAATTGAATGAAAAATCTTGTATATTTTTTTCATTTCATTAATCATTTCTGTGGTGTTAATGAATTTACTACTAAAAAACTTTGAAAAATTTATCAGGAAATGTATGATAAGATAATTGTAAATATTTTACAGGATCAGAAAACAATCATATTTTCCTCTATCATAAAGGTTTGAGTGATCCTTTAATGTCCTATGATTTTGGTTGTTTGGATAGTGGTCGCTCATCTTTTCTAGCTACAGATATTCCGAGTAACTTTGTTTCTGCTGTTAGCTGGAAAAAGGTAAAGTCTAGTCTTCACAGAGTTTTAGTAATGTCGAAAATTGCCTCATAATAATAGCAGATTCGGTTTGTGTGAGTTACAGGTTTTTGAATATTTTAGGACTCAAATTTCATTGTGGCTGCGAATAGTCAAGGAACAACACACGTCTTCGAGCTGGTTTAGTGTATCGAAGTTTGGTAGTATAGGCTTCAAAAACATAATGCATTGATTCTAACGTACTATCCAAGAAACAGAAGCTTTTTTTTCTCATATTATATCTATTTACTAGAGTGCATTGTATTTGATTTTCGACATTGTCAAAGTAAACATTTATCTCTAAAGCTCAATTTATTCTGAGATGTTTACAAAGAATGGCAACGAAGTTTCAAAGTTTTGACGGCTTCCAAACTCAAAAAATGTGGAAGGTAAAAATTGAAGAGTGTTTTTGTCAGACAATTTATATGTAACTATTGTATTTAATTATTCAAGGCGTTCAAAACTTTGTTCTTTTAACAATTTCTTGGTTAGAAAAATTATAATAGAATATTTATGCCACTTTTGTATAAATAACGATGTTTACTTTGATTGTTTCAGGCTTTACTGTCTTGCATACAGTACATCAGGGCAAATTTTTGTTAGTACATTTTCTTTTTTTTTTTTTTTGAAAGAAACCAACTTTGTCAATACTTTTTATATTCTAAACATCATGATTACTGGCAAAATTAACAAATTTTTATATCTAAATTCTCATTGATTTGTGGGGTAAGCTTTGGTTCTCGGTTCCTATTTTTTCTAAAGATTTTGACTTTCTTTGATGGGCCGTTTTTCGCTGAAAACTGTTTTTATGAGTTTTTAGTTTTCGCAAACTTTTTCTGATAATTTATAAAATTTCGAATAGAAACTAAAGCAGAGAATAAAAAAAATTTCTTCTAAAAGTTAGAGCTGTTATATGTATAATGCTAGATAGCAATAACATTTGTAAGTAAACGTATGCTTAATCTTGGAACTATTGCATTCACATTACAATAAAAATTTATTCATGTACATGACGATCCATATATCTAAACACCATATAGCCACAATTGTAATATAATTACACGTAAAGTACGTTTGAGTCTGTGCGTCTCATTTTAGCAACCTTTTATGGCATGTACTTTTCCACACAGTCAGTTCACAATAACTTGAATATTTTAATTTGGCAATGAAGTCGTTTTTTAAAAAGAGAACTTAAAATTAGAGATTATTTCTTCGAGATTAGAATCTATCAAACTTTCCGATTGTCTGGTCTGACATTTTATCACAGAAAAAAGTAGAAAATGCGCGCAAGTATTCCCTAACGTGACTATAGTCATCGCAATATTCCAAAAAATAAAATATTATGGACTGAGAATAGTGTTCATGATTTTTGTTGGATTGCAATGTATGAACGTGAAAGATAACAATTCAAATTATTGCGGTCTTACTTTTGTGTTACATTTTTAGGACGTCTGGTACTTTTTTAACCTTTAAAGTTGGTACTGTTTTTCAAATAGAATAGTAAAGATAATATAAAGTTTTGATATACATATTTCCAGCAGTTATGTACAAAAATTTGAATTTCTGAGGTATATTTTTTAAATAAAATGAGGTGTGTAAATGAAACGCACAAGTAATGACAATTATAAATTTTGAGCTTTAATTCTTGAGAAAGAAAACCCAAAATACGGCGAGTAACGACACAAAATGTTATCACTTTAACAATTATGAGAAAACAGATGGCAATACTGTTTATGATAAGAACAATGATAATGTTAAAAATCATGGTAACAGTAGAAGTATTAATAATCATGGAGATATTGTGGAAAGACGATAACATTGAGCAATTAGCTGAAGCATAATTTATCAAAAAAACAATATGGGGTCAGCTGTCGAGTTCTTTTCTTTTTCGCTTGATGATGCTTCGTCAAAATATTGCGCATACTAAATTAGATAGAAAATAAAAGTTTGTTAGATTGATAATAATTGAATTACTTTGAAAAATTAATATATTTTGCAAAGTATTGAATGCATTTCTTGGAGAATCTATGCAGTAAAAGATTTTCAGAAGCATGTATTTTATAACTTAATGCATGTTAACATGAAACTGTTATTAGCTAAAAGTTATGAATTTTCAAATAATTTTGCAAGTTTACTAAAGAGACTTACAGCATCTTCGATCCATCGAAATATATGAACATTGTAGGGCACGTAAGGTTGCCTGATCAGATGTTCTTGCACCTCAAGGAATCGTTTCAAATCCTCCAATGTTATACGTTCTTTGCTTGGCCTGCAAAAATTTAGCATAAAAAATTAATTATATAAAAGTGAGCTAGTTTTATACCAAGCATGCTTAGATATAGATATAAAGATTTTAAAGTAATTATGCAAAAACAAATTGCTTTATTGGCACAATGCTTGGTATAAATAATTAGCATTTTCAATAAAATATTAACAAATAATTGCTTATTCATTAATGTACAAATTTTAAAATTTCAATTTTTTTTCCGTAAGTAATATGAAATTATAGAAATTGAGGAGTTAGTTTTCAACATTGAAGAGTTATTTTTGCATATTATTTAGTATATTTATGTATAATACTGAATAAATTTAACTTGCTTAATTTAGATGTTTTCTTTCTATAATTTAATAATGAAAGAAAAAATTTTTTAAAAAATAATGAAAAATGATAATGACAAATTTGAACAGCTTTATCTACTCAAATCTCGATTTGTTATAACAATTTTGCTTTTGTTAGACTAAAAATTCTTGCAAATTTAAATCAAGTACTCATTTATTAATGCTTCATTTTTGCTCAAAAAATTTTGGACTTATAAATTATAATAAATTTTAATCTCAATCAGTAAATGCAAATATGATACTCTCATTTTCTATATTCTTAATACTAACAGTTTTGATTTTAGACTATACAGTTATTCGAATTCATTGCTTATCAAAAACAAGAATTAATGTTTTATAAGCTAAAGTTAGTACAAGTATTAACCTGCACAAGTTATCCTAAAAACATTTATTGCTTTCTTCTTTGAATTTAATTCATAAAATGATATTAAAATTCCAATTAACAGATAAATATTAAATTCCACAGACAAATACTTCAATATTACAGCACACTTTTATTGAAATATAAACTAACAAAGTTAGCAACAAAAAAAATACAAGCATAAAAGTACAAAAATACAGAAAAACATTTGATTATTTAAAAACAAGAAAGATTAAATAAATAGCTTATTTAAGAGTATATTTTGATAAATATATGTAAATTACCAGAAGTAGTTTTAAAAAAAAGTATTTGAAGATATGCAAATTAAAAGGAGTTTAGCAGACATGGTGGATATATGCAAATTATTCCTTAGGATAATTTAATTTTTTTACCTAAAATAATCACTAATTCACCTTGTTTTTTTAAGAGCTGCGATAATTCTTATTGCTTCTCGGATATCATCGCTAACATTAGAAAAACCACGGCGTGCTCCGCGAATTTTTCTTCCGAAATAATGCAACTTTGTGAATGTTCGTTTAAGCGTTGAACTGCATAAGTCTAATGATGCTGTTATCACTGCTAAGCCGATAATAACATAAGCTATCGCTAGCTGCAACACGGATATACTACATCTTACTAAGAATAAACAAATGTTCACTTGCAAAAATTTTTAAAAAATATTTGAATTGTTTTTTTTTGCTCGAAACGATAAATACTGCTTAATGCTTATTTGTAAGTTGAAATTATTTGAATTGCATCGATGACATTTTGACCTTTCAAAAAAAAATCAAAA